AGGCCCTGTAGTTAATTTTATATGGGAAATTTTGTAATCTTTTTCTTAAAACAAGATCCACAAATTGCATAATCTTCATGCTCTACTGAAGCTAGTTACAGCCCTGCTAATGATGGATGAGAAATGTATATGGTTGTACTTACTTTTCCCTGATTACTAGTGAACTTGAACATATTTTCATATGTTAATTGGCACTTCAAGTTTTCTGTGAATTTTGCCTTTTGTTTATTGATTTGTAGGAGTTCTTGATATCTTCTGGATATTAATCTTTTTTAAGACTTAACTGGGCAAATACCTTGTTCAGTGTAGAGCTTGTCTTCACTTTTGTTGTAGCGTCTTCCATGTTTTAATTTTAATAAAGTTGAATTTATTAATCGTTTCCTTTATGATATGCACATTTATGTGACTTGTTGAAGAAATACTTTTATTCCAGGGTTATAACAGCATACTTTTTCTTCTAAAAGTTTAAAATTTTACCTTTTCTATTTAGGCCTTTGGTCAATTGAAAAAATGTGTGTGCAATTGCTGCGAAATAGAGATCTAATTTTTTTTCATTCCACATGGATAGCCATTTGTCTCAGCACCATTTATTAAATAGTCCATCTTTTCTCTAATGCCATGTAATCTCTATTATATATCAAGTTTCAATACATGTTTCTAGGCCTTCTGTCCTGTTCCATTGGTATGTTTATTTCCCACAGCACGAACATGTAACTGCCATAGTTACTATAGCTTGATAATAAGTCTTTATATCTGCAAAATAAGTTTCCCCATTTTTTCTTCTTCAAAGTTGTCGACAAATGTTGCATGTTCTCACTAATAGGTGGGAGCCAAAAATGTGGATCTCATGGAGAAAGAAAGTAGAATGATGGCTACCCACAGGCTGGGAAAAGTAGCAGGGAGGGGGGATGGAGAGCTGTTGATTAATGAGTACAAATGTACAGTTAGATAGAAGGAGTAAGTTCTAGTGCTTGATAACACGGTAGGGTGGCTATAGTTAACAATAAATTATTGTATAGTTCAAAATAGCTAGAAGAGAAAATTTGGAATGCTCCCAACACAGAAATGATAAATGTTTGAGGTGATAGATATCATTATTACCCTGATTTGATCATCACACATTGTATGCATATACCAAAATATCACATATACCCCATCAATATGTACAACTATTATGCATCAATTTCAAAAATTGTCTTGACTTTTCTTGGCCCTTTGTGCTTCCATACAAGTTTTAGGCCAAGTTTGTCCAGTTCTAGGAAAAAAAAAAAAAAGAAAAGTTTTTTCATTGTAATAGCATTTATGTAATATATTAATTTGAAGAAAACATCTATATGATATTGAACTTTCACATTCATGAAGATTTATGGCTTTGTATTTTTCTTAGGTTTTGTTTTTGTCCTTTACAATGTTTTGTAATTCTCTCTATTAAGTTCATCATTATGTATCTTTAGATAAGATTTACTCCAGCCAGGCACAGTGGCTTGTGCCTGTAATCCCAGCACTTTGGGAGGTCGAGGTAGCAGGATAGTTTGAGGCCAGGAGTTGGAGACCAGCCTAGACAACATAGAAAGAACCCATCTCTATAAAATAAAATTAAAATTAAAAAATTTACTCCTGTAATCCCAGCACTTTGGGAGGTCGAGGCGGGCAGATCACAAGGTCAAGAACTCGAGACCAGCCTGACCAACATGGTGAAATCCTGTCTCTACTAAAAATACAAAAATTAGCCGGGTGTGGTGGTGTGCACCTGTAATTCCAGCTACTCAGGAGGCTGAGGCAGGATAATCGCTTGAACCTGGGAGGCAGAGGTTGCAGTGAGCTGAGATAGCACCACTGCACCCCAGCCTGGGCGACAGAGTGAGATTCCATCTCAAAACAAATAAATAAATAAAATTAGCCAGGTGTGGTGGCATGTGCCTGTAGTCCAAGCTACTTGGGAGGCTGAGGCAGGAGGATCACTTGAGCCCAGGAGTTCAAGGTTTCAGGGAGCTATGATTGAGCCACTATATTCCAGCCTCAGTGACAGAGCCAGACCTTGTCTCTTAAAAATAAAAAACAAAAAGAATTTATTTCTACTTATCTTTGTAGTTTTTGTTGCTATTACCAATGATATCTTTCTTTTTATTACATTTATCACATGGTTATTATTAGTATATAGGAAGGCTATATACTATGTAATATATATATAATATAATAATTTACCTTTGTTCAGCTTGTATCCATCAATCTTGCAAAACTCTCTTATTTGTTGTAAAATTAATCATTTTTATGCTGATCAATAATTCTGAGTCTCTACCTTTAAGTGCAATATTTTCCAGTTCTTTCATCAGCCAAACCTAAATACAAAATTTAATCAGTGTATAGTGGTTCTGAATAAATGTGCTGTACCTCTGTTAAAATAATAAAAAGCAGTATTATACAGTAGTTAAAGATATGACAAAGTTAGGCTTTCTGGATTCTAGCTGGCTTCAATAAAAGCCAATAAAAATAAAAACTTGAGATTTCACCACAAATGAAATCTCAATCTATTCATTTGTGAAGTAGGAACAAAAATACTAAGCTATCTATGGTTGTTATGAGGATTAAATGGGATAAACCCAATAAAATACATTGCAAAGTTCCTAGCCCATAGTAAACACTAATTACAGTTAGCTAATATTGATAAAAGCATGATAAGTGGCACCACAGCTCATTCAATTATGCAGTTAGCACAGGTGTGAGCCAGATTTGAAAACACAGGTTAGATTAATTTCTAACAAACGCTAGTGACCTGTTCACATTCTTTTGGAATTGTCTTATATCAAACATATTTCATTGCTTGAGCTGTCATTGAACCACTATTTATTGAGTCATCGTTCTGTGTTAGATTCATTCTAGGTACTGCACATACAGTAGTGAATTCACCAAAGTCCTTGCATGCGTGGGGCTTTTATTCTAATGAGAAAGCCAAACATTAGCCAAGTAAATAATTGTGTATTTTAAAATTATGATGCTATGTTTTAAAAAGTACATGCAAATTAACCAAGAGACTGAAAAAATGCTCTGAGAGAATACCACAAGAGGGGCTAATTAAGATTAGGAAGTCAAAGTGGTTCTCTTTGAGAAAGTGATGTTGAAGCTAAGCAACAGTCAAACTGAGAGGGAGAGAGAAGCGCATTTAAGCAGAGGAAATGATGTCTGCAAAGAGTGGGCAAATTTGCAACTACAAGAGGCCACCATGGTGGGAGTGGAGAAAACAAAAGAGCAAGGTCGGATGAGGTTGGAGAGTTGTGCAGGGGGAGATCATGCAAAGACTTTGGAAGCCTGTTTTCCTCCATATAATCATCAGCCCCACAAAGAGGACTAGTGTGAAAAGATCATTCTGATTAATGAGTGGTAAAGAGATAGGGAGGGCTGTGAGAGGAAGCAAGAAATGAAGCAAAAGGTAAGAATTAAGATGAAGAAAAGTGATGGCTTTGGGATGTATTTTGGAGGCATACTCAATAGGGCTTAAGGATGGAATGGCTGCGGGTGGGGAGAAGGTCTGCAAGAGGAAGTGTCAGAGATGGTTCCTGGGTCTCTGATGTGAGTAAAGGGGAATATTCTTTACTGAAATGGGGAAGACTAGAGATGGAGCACATTTGGGAGGAAAGATCAAGAGGTCTTAATCTCAGTATGTGTTGTGTTTGAGATGCCTACGAGGCATCCAAGCAAAGATGTGGAGTAGGCAGTTAAATATGTGGACCTAGAGGGCTGGGGTTAGAAATCTGAATGTTGCTGGGAGCCATGGACTCTTTTTTTTTTTTTTTTTTTTTGAGACGGAGTCTCGCTCTGTCACCCAGGCTGGAGTGCAGTGGCCGGAAATCAGCTCACTGCAAGCTCCGCCTCCCGGGTTCACGCCATTCTCCAGCCTCAGCCTCCGGGGTAGCTGGGACTACAGGCGCCCGCCACCTCGCCCGGCTAAGTTTTTGTATTTTTAGTAGAGACGGGGTTTCACCGTGTTAGCCAGGATGGTCTCGATCTCCTGACCTCGTGATCCGCCCGTCTCGGCCTCCCAAAGTGCTGGGATTACAGGCTTGAGCCACCGCGCCCGGCCTACCATGGACTCTTATTTAGGGTAAGAGGGTAGCAAGAGAGGAGAAGGAAATTCAGAACAGAATCTTAGGAAATGCCAAAGAAAGAGTTAGAGGAGAAATTGGCAAAAAGGATGAGGTGAAAAACAAGTGTGTTAAAACATTTTTTTAGCATTTTAAGAAAAGAAGATTTTAGCCTAGCATGATGGCTGAGGCCTGTAATTCCGGCTACTCAGGAGATTAAAGCAGGAGAATCACTTCAGGCCATGAGTTTGAGACCAGCCTGGGCAACACAGCAATACTCATCTCTAAAATGAATTAATTAAATAATTTTTTAAATAAGAAGAGGAGTTCATGAAAGAGTAGTCAGCAGGGCCAAATGCTTTTAAGTAAGATGAGAGTTGGAAGTATTCATTGTGTTTAGCAACATAGGGTGTATTGCTCTTAGGAAGAGCTGTAGTGGGGGCAGAAATTGGAATGCAAATATGGCCTGTGGCTGGGAGTTGGGTGAGTGTTCCTAATGAGGGCCTTTATCCTACCAGGAGTTAACCTATACACCACACTTTTGTAGCCCATGACAGATTGCATGGAGTCATCCAGACAAAGAACACCACCACTAAGCTCTCATTGAAACAGGTTGGTAAAATGTCAAGGAGATAACCCTTGAGAAGATTCTTTTTTTTTTTTTTTTTTTAAAGTCCACGTGTGCATCACTGTGCAAATCTCTGCAAACCAATGAAATTACATACACACAAGTGCAATGGGTGGTTTAATCTCACAAGGAACTTGAGGAAGCAATTTTCATCATCACTTCTGCTGATCAAAGTCTCAAAGGTCAAGACCACATTGCAGTCTTTTCATTGTTGTAAAAGTTAATGAAAGTTAATTATTAAAGCTGACAGAAAGGTAACTTGTCCTCTGTCTTACATAACCTATATATAGACATCCCTATGCATATGGATGCACGCAGAGCCTGTAGACCTGAGTGGATGGACACTGCCTCTTAGAACTAGAACTTTATCTTGAAAATGTATCACTGTTGCTGAAGCTCCTCACTGAGTAGGTGTCAGGTAGGAACCAAATTTATGATTGTTATATTCAAACTGGTTTTCTGTTCCTTGAGAATGGTATTTTTTCTGATCAAGCCTATTTAGGAGTTATTATTATGTTCTTGAGTTTATTCCATGTGTGTGAATATTTTGAATGAATCCACTAATAAGCTATGCATGTATGTCTGGAGCGCTAGCAATGTGGAATAAATATTTAAGTAGACTTTAATTTAACAAGTAAATGGTTGTAAGCATCATTAAGTTTTAAACAGTCTTTTCAAAGATATTAGTGTTCTTGTTTTAATTATTCAGATAATTCCTTTAATTCTCCACTCAAATCTGACTTTATAGATAGATTATCTGCTCTGAGGGTTGGGGGAAAAAAAAAGCAAGCTTTAAGGAAATAGTTTCTCCAGGAGACAGAATCACCTACTAGAAAGGATTCAGAAAGGCCGTCTGGTCCCAGCCAGGCATAGGAGCATGTACCTATAGTCCTAGCTACTCAAGAGGCTAAGGCAGGAGAATAGCTTAGCCCAAGAGTTCAAGGTCAGCGTAGGCAACATGGCAACACCTTGTCTCTTAAAAAAAAAAAAAAAAGGTGGGGGGACATCTGTTCTAGAAGTGAGAAATTTATCTAGATATCCTAGAAAGTCCAAGACTAAGGGAAACAGGGAGAGAAGAAAAGGCAACGAGAGTAAGGATAGAGAATGGAAAGAGAAGAGAGATGGGGAGAAAATGGTTACTGGAAAGTAGCAGAGTGCCCTATGCCACAAGTAGTATAATATAATATAATATACTTAGTAATATATGGGTACTTATCCCATACATTACTAACTCTACCAAGGTAAAATCTATTTTATTCTTTAAAATGTCAGGAAAAGATTATACAACTTTCTTTATATATGCAAGTGAGGAACAATTTATCAAATTATTGGACTAAATAATTCTCTTTTCTGAAGAAAGTCATTTGGAAAAATTGTGTCATGAAATTTTACTGCATAAACATCATTCCTTTTTTTCTTTTTCTGAGACGGATTCTCACTCTGTCGCCCAGGCTGGAGTGCAGTGGCACAATCTCTGCTCACTGCAACCTCCGCCTCCCAGGTTCAAGTAATTCTCCTGCCTCAGCCTCCCAAGTAGCTGATACTACAGGCACACTCCACTGTGCCTGGCTGAATTTTTTTTTTTTTTTTTTTTTGTATTTTTAATAGAGACAGGGTTTCGCCATGTTGGCCAGGCTGATCTCGAACTCCTGACCTCAGGTGATCCGCCTACCTCAGTCTCCCAAAGTGCTGGGATTACAGGCACGTGCCACCCCGTCTGACCAAGGATTATTCCTAATGAAAAATTAGGAAGCAACTAATTTGATTTCAGAAACAAGTAAAATGTGGTAACACAATACATACTTTGCCTTCTCCCTCTGGATAAGGGAATAAGTAAGTATATAAAGAAATGAACAAATGTTTAATACCTCCTAAACAGCTCATATTAGACTAAGAAACAAAATCGTTCAGAAAATGAGAATGAACATTTTTCAATTACAAGAATAAATATGTAATAACATTCTAGCTCTTCTCTACAATAAAGGTCTTTGATTCTCCAAGGAGAAACAAAGAGCCTCCTCTAGCCTCTGTGACACTTTGTTGAGAAGCAAGGGGGAGAATAAAGCAAGTCACCTCAAGGAGATTGGGCCCCAGGCCACCAGGCTCATGTTTTGTGTTGTGGATATTGAGTATAGGAGTGTGAGGCTTTCGTGCACAAAAGCAAGGACCTTGAAGGTGCCTCACCTTGTTCTTTTGCCTTGTCTCTCTTGGGGATAGGGGCTATGCCCCCTGACATTCAATATGTAGCAGAGAAGAACATGTAGTGGAGACAGTCCGTTATTCACAAGATGTGGCTTCTCATCCTGGCTCTGGAAAGTTGAGAAAGTCATTTATCTTCTCTCATCTCAATTTCTTCAACTGTAAATTAGCAATAATACAGCCTATCTTCTCTGCCTCCATCACACAGTAACACTCAAGGAAGAAAAGTGAAAGTGCTCAGAAAATATCAACGCCTTACAGAAATGGCCAGGGATTCTCTTTTGCCTTCTGTGAGCCTCCTGGGTGTGAAACCCCTTGCTATGGTGCATCCCAGCATTTCTCTAATGGTTTAGCCTATGGGCCAACAAAGCCTTCTGTTTCAGTGTTTGGAATTCTCACTATCCTTTGACATGATTTGCTTACTCCCCACTGCTTTGTCATCACCCTTGCCAAACCTATCTGTTCTTTAAAGTCTAACCCAAGACTCAGAGTTCCTTCACAAAACCTTTCCTAACTCCAACCCGCATTTACATCCCTTCTTCCAATTTATTATCTGCACCAATTATTGTGGGCACGTCTCCTGTATATGTGAACTTTGGTGTTTAGGACTACATCATTTATATATCTTTTGCTAATAGTTCAGTTTATTTCAACAAACTTTCTTGTATACTTACTGTGTCATAGGACCTATGCAAAAGGGGAAAAAATGGTTAAGATTTGGGCCTTGCCCTTGAAAAACTCAGTCTTAAAGGGAAGAGAAACATAAACAAATAATGACCATACTGTATGACATGGAATAGACACATATACAAGGTACTTACAAGAACGAAATGATTAACTCTATCCAGGGATTCCATGAAGGCTTTACATCATTTTCTTATCTTCTACAACTGTGTTGGGGACTGAGTTCCTGACAAATAATAGGCTAATACATGTTTGTTGAAGGAATGAAGAAATGAATCAATGGTCAGCTGAGTTGTTTTGTTTTGTTTTTAGAGACAGGGTCTCTTTATATTGGCCAGGCTGGTCTTGAACTCCTGGCCTCAAGCAGTCTTTCCACCTCAGCCTCCCAACGTGCCAAGATTACAGGCATGAGCCACTGCACCCAGCTGTGCTGAGTATTTTTAAGAATGAATTGGAATCTACCAGGTATTAGAGAAGAAGAACACAAAGGACGTCATGTGTACAAAGACACGGAACTGTTAAATATTATAGTGTATTAGGAACCTGCTGCAATTGTTAAGGAGGAGTGAAGAAGCTTGTGAGATAGACCAGAGCCAAAACATGAAGGGCCTTGTATGCCATTCTAGGAAGCTCAGATAGATAGATTATTTTAAAACTATGTTAAAACAAACTGGGATAAAAATTGAAAACTGCTACTTCTAAAGATAAGCTCAGAGTAAACATAAAGTCATAGAAAAGTTGGCAGCACTAGCATTTTCCAACAGGTTCCAGCTGACTTTTGTCATGTGGACCAGTTGTAAATTCAGTCTAAACAGTCAATATTAAACTCACTCCTGAGACTGCTACCTATGAACATAAGGCTAAGAAGTCTCCCTTTGTATACCCTGCTTTCAGTTTTGAGAACAGTCCTAGAAGGAAAATAATGGTCTCCTTTTGCTATTAGAAAATTGAAGGCTTGGACCAGGTGCTCATACCTATAATCCCAGCATTTTGGGAGGCCAAGGCAGGCAGATCACTTGAGGCCAGGAATTCGAGACCAGCCTGGCCAACATGGCAAAACTCCATCTCTACTAAAAATACAAAAAATTATCTGGGTGTGGTAACGGGTGCCTGTAGTCCCAGCTACTCGGGAGGCTGAAGCTGGAGAATCACTTGAACTCGGGAGGCGGAGGTTGTAGTGAGCCGAAACCGCGCCACTGCATTCCAGCCTCCAGCCTGGGTTACAGAGCAAGACTCTGTCTCAAAGAAAAAAAGAAAGAAAGAAAGAGAAGAAAAGAAAATTGATGGCTTGAATCACTGGCTCATAGCAAACATAGTTAAGATATGGCAAGGCAAGGATTTGAAACCTGGTCTGCTTAGTTACCAAAGTCTGACTCTTTTCGGTTGTACCTCCTAATTAAATTAGGTTTGACTTCCTTCTTCAGCATCTTGGGCAATGTAGTAATAGAATTGATGAAAAATAATAGTAACAATTATTGCTCACTTCAGCCTCTGACCCCTCCTGAGCTCTCTTAACCAACCTCAGTGCTGAGACCCCTTCCCTCCAATCACCACTCTGGCCCTCTCCCATTCTGATGCCATCATCTCCGTGTTTCCATCCAGCCTTGTACTAACCAGAATGTGGAGCTTCTTGTGCACTTGATTTCTGATTCCTCTGGCTGCTGATGGAGATCCCTCTGAAGGTGTTCACTGGAGCAATTATTCTGCTTGTTCTCCCGTCTCTCACCCGTTCCCCCAAGTACAGTTATCAGGACACTGCTGTATTTCCCATTGTCCAAGGACTAATTCATGAAACAAGGCTGGCTTACCTCTGGTTTTGCACTGACTGGCTCAGAGATATTTTGAGATCCCTGAGGTGAGTCGTGTTTTCAGCAGATTTCAGGCACAGTATGGGATTTTCAGTGATGTCTCCATGAAGGCCTTCCTCAGCTTGAACAGCTAGGGAGGGGTGATGCTACTAGGAGCTGCCTTGTCCAAGAGTGGAGGCATCTAATGTGACTGCGGAGGGGCTGGGAAGTGTTCTGGACCCTTGCTTGTCTGCTGATTTCAAATGACCACTAATTAAAGGCAAATCCTAGCACTGCTCATCAGCATCTTGGTTCAAATCAGCTGTTTCCCAGCAAAAGGACAGACCTCTGAAAGACTAAAACCCAGAATAGATAAACACTGAGTGAAAAGGTCAGGGTCTTAAGACACTTCTCAGCAGAGTAGGGCAGGCAGAGTGGAGGTTCTTGTAACTGGAGGCCAGGCTGCAGGTTGGAAATGGGTGGAACTTGGAGGGGTGGGGAGGTATATACATGACAATCCCTAGAAACATCAAAAAGTTGTTAATACATGGGAATAGCTAAACTAAGAAACTGAACTTCAGAAATTAATCCCAGTATTAAATTTCTGCTCAAAAAGAAGCAGAGAACAACAATATGTATGACTAAGCCACAGCACCAAGATATGTAGGTATATGAATGTCTACGTGTGTGTCTATGTGTGATATATATATATAAAATAAAGGCCAAAAAAATAAATAAAAAGCAAATCATAGGGAAGCAAATAAACGTGGAAATATATACGAATAAGGCTTGGGATTCTACAGTTAGTAAGAGGAAGGGACCCTGAGAATGAATTTCAATCCCCAAATCCACTGACACCCTAAGGACCCAGAGATCCATGAAGATAGAACATGAAAAGGCTTACATTAATATGGGCGTAATATTTGAAATTGGAATTGTGATTCTAGGAACCAGAAAAAAGTGTTTTCCAAGAATTTCTGGCAAAAACATAACTTGTTCAGGTGAAAAAGAAGTTTAAAAAAATCTCTTTTGAATTCCTAATTAAAGATGAGCCAAGATCGCGTCACTGCACTCCAGCCTGGGCAACAGAGCAAGACTCTGTCTCAAAAAAAAAAAAAAAAAAGATCATGCTCAAGAATCTCAGAAACGATGACATGGAGAATGTCATTAATTTATGACTATCTGGAACATCTCTTCAGCAGAGGCACCATTGGTTCAGAGGCCCACATAGTATGTTACACATGGAGGCATACCTTTTGGAAGCAGGGATGGGTGCAAGGGGAAAACAGAAAGGTTGGAATGTGGCCCTCAAGATTTCTCTCTAAAGTCTGGAAAGATTTCTCTTTTTTTTTTTTTTTTTTTGAGATGGAGTCTTGCTCTGTCGTCCAGGCTGGAGTGCAGGGGCATGATCTCAGCTCACTGCAACCTCAGCCTCCCGGGTTCGAGCAATTCTCCTGTCTCAGCTTCCTGAGTAGCTGGGATTACAGGTGCCTGCCACCACGCCTGGCTAATTTTTGTATTTTTACTAGAGACAAGGTTTCATTGTATTGGCCAGGCTGGTCTTGAATCCCTGACCTCAAGTGATCCTCCCGCCTCAGCCTCCCAAAGTGCTGAGATTACAGGCGTGAGCCACCACGCCTGGCCAGAAAGATTTCTTAAGCTCCCCTGATTCCTGCCCTGAGCAGTCCTCTTGCAGGCAGTGCTTGGGTGTGAGGAGGAGGCTTTTACTGGCAGGACAGCCAGAGTTCAGACTCTTGATCCAGCTGGAGGTATAAGAAAGCCCACTAAAGAGACAGCCATAGCCATCCTCAGAGAAGGAAGCTGATTAGAAATGAAGTTGTATTTCTCACATCACTGTCATCCGCAAAAAAAAAAATTAAAATAAAAAATAAAAAAATACAACAGCCAAAAGAATATAAGTACCTTCAAGATCTTTTTTAGGGAAGATAACTAATAAATTTCTGTGAACTCCTTGAGGAAAGCATGAGTAAAGCAAGCAAAGAAGAATCTTTTTTTTTTTTTTTTTTCTGTTCCCTATAGCAGCATCTGACAGAAGTACAAATACACAGCGCTGAAGTCTTCTTCATCCTAAGGTTTGTTCCTTCAAAGGGTTAAGGCTGTTCTTATAAGATATTCCACATACGCTTTGTGAGAAATCCAAGATGTCAGAAGTGAATGACCATGGATTAGATCTTATTTATTAATGCTCCAACCATGTTGTTGGCAATCAGCAAAAAAAAAAAAAAAAAGACAAAAATCCATGTTCTGCACAGCAATGTACAAGTCACCTCCACTTCGTGAGCAAGTTCTTCTGACAATGGGAAGTACCATCTAGTTAGTGGGATTTGACCCCTGAAGTGTGGGTGGAGAGATGGAAGAGGGAATGGAAACAAAAGAGAAAACAAGCACTTGGGAGTGGCAGGGGAAGAGAGGCCCAGAAAGAATAGCAAAGGAGGATCTAAATGTCATAACTGAGGCCCTGGTGGTGCACCTGTTAGCTACTTGGGAGGCTGAGGCTGAAGGATTGCTTAAGCCCAGGAGTTTGAGGCCACCCTGGGCAACGTATGAAAGATCCTTGCCTCTACTGAAATATTTTAAAAATTAGCAGGGCATAGTGGCCCACACCTGAGGTCCCAGCTACTCAGGAGACAGGAGGACGGCTTGAGTCTAGGCGTTAAGAGGCCATAGTGAGCTGTGATTACACCACTGCACTCTACCCCAAGTGACAGTGAGATCCTGTCTCTAATAATAATAATAATAATAATAATAATAATAAGGGAGTCATAACTGAGCTCAAAGGAACTCAAATGCTGGAGGTCAAGCCAGAGATTTGGGGCAGAAGCAGTACATTGTGGTCAGAAGTGAGCACAGAGGACTTTAGAGGAAACTAGAAAATGGGGTGGGAGAGAAAAATGGGTGATCAAAGAGAGGTCAAGTGGGGCCAGCAGTAGAGGCCAGCATCTGATTCCTGGTTGTAACTTGAGCTCTGCAAACATACTGAAAATCCCTTAAGGTATATGAGGGCACGGTGTAACAATATACTATCTAGTGTGAGATAATTCAATTAATCACAGTGATTGAAGTTGAGGAACAAAACTTGGGCATTATGAGTAGTAATACAGAACAAGATTAGAGGGAAAAATGCTAGCAGTTAGTTGCAGTGTTCTTCAATGATGTTCATATCAAACAATAGAGAAGCTGTATGACATAGAAAAGATAGCAAAGAAGTCTGAAAATGCAGGTACTGTTTCTGCCATTTTATAAGCTGTATGTCCCAAGAAAAAGTATTTCCATTTTAGTGTGGGTTTGGGGTGTATGTGATCACTTTATCATTTGTAAGAATAAAATAATAATAACAAAATAATAAGAGTAACTGCCTCAAAGAATTGTGAAGGCTAACTTGGTAATGTGCATTTAAACATGTTGTAAAATTGATCTTTTAAGCATAATAGAAACAGGATTGAGATAAGAATAAAAAACTTAAACATCTTGTGTAGAAAATGCTAATAATTAAAATAATAGCTACCATGTAGTAAATGCCTATAGTGTGTTATATGTAAGCTAGATGCTTCGGAAACCTTATTTACTCTTTACAATCACCTGAAACTTGAATATCTTTATCCCCATTATACAGGGAAGACTCAGAGAGGTTAAGGAACTTGCCCAGGATCATTCCTTTAAAAAGATCTTATTACTCACAAATGAAGTAACCAAATAATATTTAGTTTGTTTCATAGTTTTCTTAACTATAAATTGTAAAACTCTAACTCCTAGAAACAATAAGGAAATAACTGAAATAGGCAATACCTTTGAATTTCACAATTTTTAAAAATTTTACAAGGTAAAAAAATCAAATTTTAAAATTCTGATGGGTAAATTGGAACAGCCTGGACTGGAGCTAGAGGCAATAAATAAACTTTAAATCTAATCTGTCCCAGCACTTCAATGCCTTAACTTTGGAAATATTTCTGGGGAAAAAAAGTTGATAAAGTATCTTGCCTTGTAAGTAAAAACTTGACTAAATGATTCATAAACTGAGTCGATTTTGTTACTTTTTGGCAAATTAAAAAATAAAACAAAAGCTTCTTGTTTACTTACCTAAAAGAGTCATGTCCAGCTCACTAGAATAAAATATCGCTGTCGCAAAACACAATCTAGGTCCCTTAATCCTGCCTTTTTTGATCTTAAAAGGTGGTAACATTCAGTTCGGAGCTCACTCATCTGTAAATTGCATCACATTATCTCTGAGTTATTTAAGAAGCAAGCTCTGTTTGGTTTCAGGCATTTTTAACCTGCTAAAGGCAAGAAGAAGTGTTCACCACATAGTTCAAAAGGTCTTCAACTTGCCACAGCCAACAGAAAAATCAAAATGATTGAACCCTTTGGGAATCAGTATATTGTGGCCAGGCCGGTGTATTCTACAAATGCTTTTGAGGAAAATCATAAAAAGAGAGACAGACATCATAAGACATTTCTGGATCATCTCAGAGTGTGTTTTAGGTAAGATCTTTTTTAAGGTATAGGCATTAGGAATATATTTTTGAAGCACTTTCACCTACATTTTCTAACTTTCCAACTCTCCTTTCTGGCTCTAATCCACAGCCTACAGTCCTTTCCTCTTTGGTTTCCAAACCTCCTACTCCCTGCCAGAGTTGGAAAGGTAGTGTTTAAAATGAACCCCATCTTGGCTTATCAACACAGTCTTTCCAAATCAGACAACAAACAGATGGGAACAGAGGAAAATGCTCATTTGAAATATTACATGATTCAAGCTGAGGATGACAAATAGATCTATTATGGTTAAAGAAAAGCAAGCATTTTAAAAAATTCTTTGTTGGTGACCAGAGGGCAGCTGATTATGGGTAAAGAATGTTACTGGGAGTGAAATTACTAGTTTAATCTTTAGCAAATTACCATCTTTACCAATTTCCCACTGACAGTTAGGTACTAAACTTAAAATTCGATATTAATTGACTGACCTGTGGCTTTCCATGTTTTCAGCTGTTCCCCACAAAAGGCCAAGAGAAGTGTCCTCTCTTTGTTCCCCATAGCATCTTGGTTGCCAGCATATCGGCTTAAGGAATGGTTGCTCAGTGATATTGTTTCTGGTATCAGCACAGGGATTGTGTCCGTACTACAAGGTACATTTTTTTAATGTATAATTTATATACCATAAAATTCATCCTTTGAATGTGTACAGCTCAGGGGCTTTTCATATATTCACCAGGTTGCGCATCTGTCACCACTATCCAATTCTGGAACATTTTCACCACCAACAACCCCTAAAAATCACTTACCCATTAACTTCACATCCCCCTCTACCCTTTCTTTATGGATTTGCCTATTCTGGATATTTCATGTGAAAGAAATAATACCATACATGGCACTTTGTGTCTAGTTTCTTTCACTCACTGTAATGTTTTCAAGGTTGATCCATATTGTAGCATGTATTGGTACTCCATTCCATTTTGTGGACAAATAAGTATTCTATTGTATGGACATATCACAATTTTTTAATCTACTCATTGGTTGATGAACATTTCAGTTGTTTCCACTTGGGGGCTATTATGAGTTATGAGTAATGCTATTTTGGACATTTGTGTACAAATTTTTGTGTGAACATGCTTCAATTTTCTTGGGTATGTCACTAGGAGTGTAATTGCTGGATCATATGGTAACTCTACATTTAATCATTTGTGGAATTGCTAACTTATTTTCTAAAGTAGCTATGCCGTTTTACCTTTCCACTAGCAGTGTATGAGGGTTCAAATTTCTCCATATCATCAGCACTTGTTATTCTCCATCTTTTTGCTTTTAGCTATCCCAGTAAGTATGAAGTGGCATCTCATTGTGGTTTTCATTTGCATTTCTCTAATGACTAACAATATTGAATATTTTTTCATGTGTTTATTGGCAATTTGTATATCTTTTGAAAAAGGTCTATTCAAATTTTTTACCCATTTTTAAATTGGGTTATTTGTCTTTTTGTTGTGGAGTTGCAAGGGTTGTTTCTATATTCTGGATACCAGACCCTTGTCAGATACACAATTTGCAAATAACTTTTTCATTCTGTGATTTATTGGTTAACTTTCTTGATAGTATCCTTTGAAGTACACATTTTTAAATAGTGATTAAGTCCAATGTATCTGTTTTTTCAGTGGTTGCTTATGCCAGGGGTCCCCAATCCCCGGGCCACAGACCGGTTCAGGTCTGTAGCCCGTTAGGAACCGGGTCACACAGCAGGAGGTGAGTGGCACATGAGCAAGTGAAGCTTCAACTGTATTTACAGCCGCTCCTCATTGCTCTCATTACCTCCTGAGCTCTACCTCCTGTTAGATCAGCAGCAACATCATATTCTCACAGGAGTGCAAACCCTATTGTGAACTGTGCATGCAAGGGATCTAGGTTGCATGCTCCTTATGAGAATCTAATGCCTGATGATCTGTCACAGTCTCCCATCACCCCCAGATAGGACCATCTAGTTGCAGGAAAACAAGCTCAGGGCTCCGACTGATTCTACATTATGGTGAATTGTATAATTATTTCATTATATATTACAATGTAATAATAATAGAAATAAAGTGCACAAAAACTGTAATACACTTGAGTCATCCCAAAACCATCTCCCCTTCCCTAGTCAGTGGAAAAATTATCTTCCATAAAACCAGTCCCTGGTGCCAAAAAGTTGGGGACCGCTGGCTTATGCCATAGATGTCATTTCTAAGAAACCATTGATGAATCCAAGATCATAAAGATTTATACCTATGCTTTCTTCTAAGAGTTTTATAGTTTTAGTTCTTACATTTATATCTTTAATATATTTTGAATTAATGAGGTAACTTATTTTTAGGGTCCAATCCTAAATACCCTAAGAACCAAATGAGAAAGTCTTTGATTCCTCTTGTACAAAATAAGGACTCTGCTGCTTGTGTGTTTACAGGTTTAGCATTTGCTCTGCTGGTCACCATCCCCCCAGGCTATGGGTTGTATGCAGCCTTTTTCTCAACCATAATCTACCTTTTCTTTGGCACTTCCAAACACATATCTGCGGGTAAGTCAGTTACTGAGCTGATTAATGCTCACATTGTTTTTTCTTTATGAATTTTATTAGCCATACATTGTATCAATTCCAAATTGCACATAATCCAGGAGAAGAGTCATGTTCTCTTGTGAAAATCAGGACCAGGGATTGAGAAGGAGGGCAGGGTCACAGATGGCAGTCATTTTATTTATTTATTTATTTTATTTTTTGAGATGGAGTTTTGCTCTTATTGCCCAGGTCCTTGGAGTGTGATGGTGTGATCTCGCTCACTGCAACCTCTGCCTCCCAGGTTCAAGCGATTCTCCTGCCTCAGCCTCTCGAGTAGCTGGGAATACAGGTGTGCGCCACCACGCCCGGCTAATTTTTTGTATTTTTAGTAGAGACGGGGTTTCTCCATGTTGGTCAGGCTGGTCTTGAACTCCCAACCTCAGATGATCCACCCGCCTCGGCCTCCCAAAGTGCTGGGATTACAGGCGTGAGCCATCACACCTGGCATCGCCAGTCATTTTATATGCTCTTATTCTGTGGTTGAAAGACAATATGCTTTAGGGAGGCATATACTGACCAAGATTCACCCACTGTTAATAGGTCCGTTTCCGATTCTGAGTATGATGGTGGGAGCAGCAACTGTAAGATTAGCTCAAAATTTCCCTGGAAATACAGGATCGTCCAACAACTCAACGAGTAATTCTTCATCACTAGATGACTACAAGGTGACGGTGGCGGCATCAGTCACAGTGCTTTCTGGAGTAATCCAGGTGAGCACCTTCTCATGTAACTTGCCCACCTCAATCTGTTTGCCTTGACTGGTACACATCTCTCTGTTTTTCCTCGCCACTGCCACTCCTCCCCGTATTCCCTTTAGTTTATGTCTCTCCCTCGTGGCCCATAAGAAATACTGTAAGAAGGGTCACTCATCACAACCAGAGGGAGAAGAGTGGGTCAACAGTATAAAAATGAATGAATATGGGTCTAGACAGAAGGAAGAAGGGGAATGGAGAGGCACGAACAGTGACAAGTGAAATGCTTCAACATATATCTGGGAATTGATAGACTCAAGAAACAGCGTATCGGGAATTGATAGAGTCAAGAAACAACCGTATGCAAGAAATCGTCATACTGGTGGCTTTAGAATTTTTTTCTTTAAATCTTCAGCAACTGTAATCTAGTTGGAAGGGATGGGGGCTTTGAACTGCTCATGTCAATTTTGGGGAAAACTGAAAAGGATTATGGTAGAGTCTCACTCCCAAGCCATATGCTGACACCCCTACTGAATAGTGAAAATGTCGTGGACTTTTTGAGATGTTGCCTAAGTTTATGGATAATGATATTATTGGTTAAGACCATTTCTTAAAGAAAGAAAAAGTCAGTTTCTACAAGGACATAAGCATGTGTCTTATTGACAATTTGGTTAGTTATTTCTAATACATTTCTGAACCTAGTATAGAAATGGAACCCAGCTGGGCTTTGGGCAGTCACAGCTCTGGCTGCAGTTTGGAGACATGAGCAGAAAGACAGGTCAAGCATCCAAGGGAAGGAGAATCCACCCAATTTACCTTATTGCAAAACAATGATGCTTTAGGGGGGAATTAACCATCTTTTTCCCCCAGCTAGAACCAGTTACCTCTGATGTCCAATATGCAGTTACATATTTCTTAAGCGAATTGAGCAACTTTGAGGAAATATCAGTAGACACTCACTAATGCATGCTCCAGCAGCTAGAAAGTATAACTTAAGGCCGGGCGCGGTGGCTCAAGCCTGTAATCCCAGCACTTTGGGAGGCCGAG